TCCTGTAGAAAAACTGCTGCACATATATAATGTTTAACTAGAGATTTGGGATAACAAATGAACTCTAAACTAAACAAAACTTATGCCAATTGAAAGATGTGTGAATCTAATTTTCAAAACAGAAAACCATTTTTAAAAATAGTTTTTATAGAGAAAGATATGCTCATTTTACTAACAGAAGTCCCGACTATTTTCCTACTCGTTTTGTGGAGCTGTGTTGCGCCATTTTGAGATGCGTTCGTGGAGTTTTGAGCCGCTTGATATTACACGTATAGTCATGAATATGTTGTGTTATGCATTTGAGAATCCCAAGGGGATTATGATGAGTTTTGATTTGATCATATTCGAATTAGATTTCGTTCATACACATGTTGGATATCGTTAATTGGCCCAGCTCAGTACTATATAAGATAGTACGTAGATATGCCAGATTTATACAGTTTATACATATGTCAAATATCGTTAATGGGTTCAGCTCAGTACTATATGAGATAGTACATCGATATGCCAGATTTATATAGTTTATACATATGTCGGATAACGTTAATGGGCTCAACTCAGTACTATATGAGATAGTGCATCGATATGCCAGATTTATACAGTTTATACATATGTCGGATATCGTTAATGGGCCCAGCTCAGTACTATATGAGATAGTGTGTTGATATGCCAGATTTATATAGTTTATACATGTGATGGATATCGTTGATGGGCTCAACTCAGTACTATGTGGGGTAGTGCATCGATATTCCATTTGTACAGACCATTGAGTCGAGTTTGGATGCTTTGTCTAGCAGTCCGTTCCGCACGAGGGTGCGATGAGACTTGTGAGCCATCTTCTAGGATACCTATATGGTAGGTCGTCTCGTACTCATGTTACACACTAAGATCGCGATGAGACTAATAAGTCATGTACATTGTTTTAGGATACCTACAGGGTAGTTCATGTTGCATCAAAATCTTGCAAAGAGTTGAAATGAAATGATTATTTTATAGTCTGAGTTTTAGTAGATATCAAAAATGTCTCTGTCACACTGTCCATTATGGTGTTTTATTTTCTAGTGATGTTTCTTTTCATAGTTCGGTATTGATATTTAGGTATCTATAGTCTGAGACATATGATATATACATGAGGGTTTTCTTGTTTGGATTATTTCGCTCGACGTACTACGTCTTGTGTTATATATTTCTAAATATTAATACCATTAGATACGGAGAAAATGATGTAGGTAGACTATGCTTAATAGATAGAGCCTCCACTATATCTAGCAGCCCTTTTCCTGGGGGACAGATGGAGGTGATTTTGCTTTAGTGCTCTGACGCTTTTGTTGTTGCTCTTTTTATTTTAAATTTTTTTCAGGCAGTTCAAAGCTTCGGAGAGCCGTAGGTTGACGGTCTTCCAGCATAGTCACCGTCGTTCAATTTTAGTAGTGAGACTCCACTGTGTTGACTTTCATATTCAGACATTAGAGTTTATTTTTTTATTATAAAGGCTGTAAGACTTAGTATCATTCCTATTTAGTTTGTGATGAGATACTTTTCTTTCAATCATCAGATGTATTTCAGACTTGTCGGTTGAGACATGAGTTTATTTATTAGATTTATCTTTCTACATCATGTCTATTGTGTTTACTATCTTTTTTGCCTGTATTATACCTGCACTTTATTGTTGATTCCACTAGAGGATATTACTGTGATTGGTGAAAGATGTTATTGCACGGTGTGAGTGCATGACAGGTTTGACATCCCTGGGTTCACCTTGGACTGTAGCCATGCGTGAAAACAAGGGCGTCACAACATTGTCTTCTAATATTTTAATCTGAAATATATTCATTATGGATCTGAGATCGATACATTCCGATATTTTGTACCTTCAGGCGAGTCATTGTTCAGACCATATTGGCTCGGGACTGGTAAAATGTTTTTGTTATATATATTCCTTAATATTGGCACTAATTTTAAAATTTCTCAATATACTTAATCAATTTTGTTTGACGTGCAGCCCGTACCAGACATCACCATGGTCGATCATTCCCAGAGTCATTCGACTTAGGTCATTGAAGATGAGAGAGTACTACAGCTGATAGCTCACGCCGGGTTCCGGGACTGTTCGACAGTGTGATATATTAGGCTTGATTGGTCACTTATCATTGCACTGATTGAGAGGTGGAGGCCAGAGACCAACACATTTCACATGCATATAAGGGAGTGTACCATCACCTTATAGGACGTAGCCATCATACTTGAGCTCCGCATCGATGGTCTGGCAGTTACGGGCACCGATGACCATAATTGGCCTGAGGTATGTGCTAGGCTTCTTGGTCAGGTTCCTAACTTGAGGAGTGGTGCGATAAAGCTATCGTGGCTTCGTCAGACATTTCAGGGAGATATACCAGCAGATGCCTCCATTGAGACGCTTTAGTTTCATGCTCGCTCATACATATACCACATGATAGGGTGCACGCTATTTCCTGATGCGAGCAAGACTCTTGTACATGCACGATGACTGCCATTGCTGGAGGATTTTGGTGTATACGGCGCACTATCGTGGGGCAGTACGGTGTTAGCATACTTGTATAGAGAACTAGGTAGAGTATCCTTAATGCAGAATAAAGAATTCAAGGGATGCTGCATGTTGATCCAGATTTGGTCATGAGAGCGCATTCATGTTGGCAGACCGACTTTGCTTGTGCACCGTGACTTACACAGACAGTTTCCTTTGGCATACAGGTATAATTGTCCACACAATTTTATTCAACTGAATTTAAACTCATATATTCTTTATGCCAAATAGGTATAATGTGTGGTACGCTAACTACAAATCAACGACACGACATTGTGAGTTTTACCGAAATGAGCTTGATGGCCTCCAACACGAACATGTAAATATAAAACTCGATTCATTATGAATATTATAGTTTTATTGTTGATATTGATAAATGTTTTATCTTATTTCAGTTCCAGTGGAGACCCTATTCACCACCGGAGCTCAATATGCATACTCTTGCACTATCATGGGACAATACGGTGTTGGCATACTTGTATAGAGAACTGGGTAGAGTATCCTTAATGCAGAATAAAGAATTCAAGGGATACTACACGTTGATCCAGATTTGGTCATGAGAGCGCATTCATGTTGGCAGACCGACTTTGCTTGTGCACCGTGACTTACACAGACAGTTTCCTTTAGCATACAGGAATAATTGTCCACACAATTTTATTCAACTGAATTTAAACTCATATATTCTTTATGCCAAATAGGTATAATGTGCGGTACGCTAACTACAAATCAGCGACACGACATTGTGAGTTTTACCGAAATGAGCTTGATGGCCTCCAACACGTACATGTAAATATAAAACTCGATTCATTATGAATATTATAGTTTTATTGTTGATATTGATAAATGTTTTATCTTATTTCAGTTTAAGTGGAGACCCTATTCACCGTCGGAGCTCAATATGCATACTCTTGCACCTATCTGTCGAGATAGTCCCGACTTGTGGAGAGCTAAAGTTCTATTGATCTGTTGGGAGATTGTGGAGATGCATGTCCCCGGCCGTGTGCTATGGCAATTTCTGCTCTCTCAGAATGTGCTAGAGCCTACCGAGTTGATCGATCGTCGGCGACGACCTATATCGCCCCGTACCGGTTGGGCCGTAGTCCGTGCGACCTACATAGACAGGTGGACTCACAGGTGTGATTTCATACATGATACAAGAGACACAGCTGTTGACTATACCGTGTATATGCATTGGTATTAGGATATCACACGTAGATGGATCACGCGTGACCTACAGCCATCAGCTGGACACATGCCACGTCCACCGACAGATAGTTACATCCCTAATGGGATGATCGAGAGAGATTATGTAAGTTTATAAGCTAAATTATAACATTTTTTATTAAGATGGTACTTAATAAATTGTTTACCTTGCAAGTCCATGCTTTTGATAGCATTAAAGCTGATATTGATGCGCACATGCCTGAGATTCAGGATTCGGCGGCGTTAGGGGTCTTCAATAGGATCAAGAAGACAATAGCACAGGTGTTTCATAAGACTCACATCGACGAGTTTGCAGGCCGTGAGGACAGACCTCGATCATTTGGGCAAGTGTACACACGACGACGACGGCCACGTGACGATGAAGCCGACACTTCATATGCTGATGGAGCCGGCACTTTGCATGCTGATGGAGCTGATGCTTCTCAACCTCATACACAGCCAGATACTCAGATAATCGAGGCTCATCAGCAGGACTGCAAGGGGCGGGGAAGAGCGAGGGGGAGGGGGAAGAGAGGGAGAGGAAGGAGAGGAGCTATTTTGGGTTGTATGTGAGCTTATTTTGTTAAAATTTATAACTTTTATGAATTTTCAAATACTATATTTTTGTGGATCAATTATTATTTATATATGTACTCTTTGTGAGTGTTGTTTGGTTCGTGTTTAATTCATGGTTGAATTATGTATATATTGTTGTAATTCAGTGTATATGAGATCAATTATTATTGACAGATAAATATAACGTATATGAGTTACGTTACGTATATATAGAACATGCACAAAATCTGCAACTCCACGGGAGTTCAAATCCCGTGGAGTTATAGGCTTAATTTTTCAGAAAGCGATTCTCTGGAAACTTTTATTGAAACTCAACGGGAGTTGAACCCCCGTGGAGTTTTTGCACCGTAACAAACTTCACAGGAGTTGAACTCTCATGAAGTTTGTTCAACTCTCGTGAAGTTTGTTTAAGCAATTAAACTTCACAGGAGTTGAACTCCTGTGACATTTTAGCAGTTAGTTAAAAATCTACTAAACTTCACGGGAGTTCAACTCCCGTAATGTTTCGGTAAAATATTAAAAAAACCGACATGCTGTCAGCGCCAGGGCTGAAACCAGGTCGGTTTTTAAAAATAAGTTCAAAATAGGTCTTTTTTGACGATAAAAGTATAAAGAGAACTGTTTTGAAAATTTGTCCTTTTATCTTTTTTTTGTGGTACTAAATACCAACCCTCATCGGTCATGAGAGAGAGAGAGAGAGAGGGAGAGATGGGTTCAGAGGCTAGGATGATAGATGAATTGAAGGCTGAGATGCCCCTCGAGCACGATGATGACTTGGTGCTGTTGAATGAAGTTGAATATGGGAGGAAGCTTGGTCTTGTGTTTGTTGATATCCTTAATGGCTTCTGCACTGCTGGAGCTGGCAACCTTGTAATTTTCTATCAACTATCTCTGATTTTTCCTAAGACAATTGCGATCTCTACCAATTTCCAACCATATTTTTTAATATTAATCTTATATATGATTATCTTGGCTTAAGATATTGTTTGATACTTTGGGGCCAGTTTTCATCAGTTGCTATATGGATTATTACTTAAATTTGCAAACATGTATAGGAGTTCAAATGTTTGGGATTTTAACTGGGCATCTTGATTTCTTGGTTAATAACTGAAATTAGACTTGTGATTATATGAATTTGTGAAATCCGATCGAGACGATACTTGAACAAGCACACATAAATCAAATTCAGTTGATGGTATGCATATGCTTCGATTTTAAGGATAAAAGTACTTTCTTGCTTTAACAAAATATATTGCAGAGCCTGAAATTTTTTGTTGTTATTGATTCTAAAACCTATAAGATGTTCAAATTTTAAGTTTTCAACTGGTATGTCCAATTTGAGTTCTCTTTCACTTATGTTATTGCTTTAGCTACTTGTGCATTAATTTCCTATTTCTAGAAAAAACAATGAAATCGCTAGCTGCACGACGAGATTATTTAGGACTCAAAAGTTGAGTACAATTGCTTCATAATTTTGCTTTGCACTTTCTCAGGCTCCCACAGCGCCTAATACACAAATATCGACGATGTTAGGGGAAGCCGAAAAATTTGCCAAAGTGTTTTGTGAGAGGAAATGGCCTGTAATGGTATTCCTCGATTCTCACCATCCCAATAAACCTGAGCATCCTTATCCTCCTCACTGCATAATAGGTTCAGGTGAAGAAGATCTTGTTCCAGGTGATTTTCTCTTTCCTTTATGGTGTTTTTTTCTCATGATATCAGTCCCTCAAATCTTTCATATTTTGAAATGCCCCCCATATCATTGAAATCGATATTTAGGTCCCCAAATTGTTAACTTAACTTTGAATGTTAATGTTAGAAACACGAGATTACGAGACCAGGAGGTCCGTGTGTTAATAGCGTAGAGCATGAATGCCAATAGGTAGACCACATAATACAGAGCCAGCATCTGCAATTAAGTCTTTAAGTTATATATATTGCTTTTGTTAGTTTGCATGCACACAAGTATTACATGATCCCCGTATATCGACACCTAAAATTTATTATGTACGAGGAATTTAAGCAAAAAAAAAGAGGAATTTGAGTTGTAATATTTTACCTTCCTTGTTTTAAGCAAACAGAAACTAGGAATGTCTTTGAGCTTTAGTTAATCTCTGAACGGTGTAGATTTCTCCCTCGTCTTAGAAAAAGTGGGGTCTTTTATTAACAAAGTGAGAGGATTCCTTTTTACACCGTGAACATTTCTCGTCACTAGACTCAATCCTACAAGTTTTATTTGACTGGTACATAAGTATAGTTTCATCTGATATGCAAGTTTATATACAAATTCCAAATTCCTGTTGGAACAAAAACATGCAGCTCTTCGCTGGTTGGAGAATGACCCAAATGTTACAATCAGGCGCAAAGATTGTATGGATGGATTCATTGGTTCAATAGAGAAGGATGGAACTAATAAATTTGCTGATTGGATCAAGACTAATGAGATCAAAGTGGTAAATGTATCTTGCCCTGATTGCTTCCAACAATGTTAACTTTGGTAAACCTAACTATCGATGATTTTATGTAGCTCTTGGTGATAGGAATATGCACAGATATCTGTGTGTTAGATTTTGTATGCTCCACGCTCTCAGCTAGAAATATCGGTCTCGTACCACCTTTAGAAGATGTCGTTGTGTATTCAAAAGGGTGTGCCACTTTCAACTTTCCAGTTGATGTTGCTCGAAACATTAAAGGATCATTAGCTCATCCTCAGGTGAAATAGCCTATCACTGGTTAGCTAGACTTCCTCCACACCCCCGCCCCCCCTGGTTTATGATACTACTATTGAGTAGGCAACGTGAGAGCTCACTTGGTTCCTTCAATTTGCTTTTTCTTTTTTCTTTTTTCTTTTTTTGGTCCCTACAGGAGATGATGCATCACATAGGCCTTTGTATGGCGAAATCAAGGGGAGCTAAAATAGTGCAGAATGTATCCCTAGGATCATTGCCGTAGAAGTATCAACTGGAGAACAAGAGGACAGAATGCAAAGCTATAACGTTCAGAATGCTCGCCTATAGTGTAAATTTATGGTATTATGTAATTGGAATGCTATCGATAAATAATCTCCATTTAAGAGTAGAAACTGTCTTTAAAGCATGCAAGCTTGAGCTTTTGAGAAATTTGTAAGATATAGGATATCACATGTCAGTATGGTAAGTATGGCTTGTAGCATATGTTACCTTATGTTTGCTTCTCTCTGTTACTTCTTTGTTTATTGCAACTAGTTCTTGTGTACATGGAATGTACATGATTAAATATCAAAATTATTATTATTTTTGTTTATTTTCTTACTATAAAATAAGTGAGGTTCATTTTGAGTTAAAATCTATAAACATGACATTTGCCCTAAATTTTATTTAAATTTTTTTTCAAAATTTTATGAAATAGATTTGTGTGTAAAACTGGGAGCAAAATACTTTTATATACTTGCATACACAATATTATTTTTTAAAATTTGTATATATCAAACTTTATGTAACATATTTGTTTACCTAATCATTTTATCGATCTCCAATTTGTTTATCTTAGTCATTAAATGTAGTGTTAAGTTACAAAAAAATACAATAATATATTGTGGATGTGTTAATAAAAATATAACTGAATACTTAATATTAAGATGGTTTGCATAAGCTCGATCAGCACAGAGCACATATTTTTTATAAGACTTCAAGACATCTTAATTATTGATAGACTTAAAAATAATAATAAATACTAAAGACTAATGATGACTCTAGTATAATTTTATATGACAAAATCATTCACATAAGCATATTAAAAATTTTGTATGAAAATCTCTTCTAAAGATTCTTAATTTTACTCAAAAAATTAAGTTTTACTATAAAATTTTTAAAAAAATATTATCATTTATTCCTTCTTTATTCATATTTAATTGAGCTGAGATTCAATCCTTCTCTACCTTTATCTTTTTTCTGGGCAATACTACAGTAGTGTCTTCATCGTTTACATCAATTGTGATATAATGTTGGTATATAATAAAAAAACAAAAGACAAGACAAGAATCCGGAAATATATTAGGATATACTTGGATCAAACAAAAGACAAAATATGTTGATAATATTAAACTATAAAACAGACTGTATGGGCCCTCTAACTTAACTTTTTTAATGCAAACAACCATCAAGATTAATTTTGAAAATCTCTTGGGGCTAGGAATAAACAACTAATAAGTTTGCAGAGGAAGCTAGGGGAACGTAGTACATTCTTAAAAATTATTAATCTTTACTTAATTTATTTATAATGATTTGATCTCATTATTAGCTAACTACAAGGCCTAGTACATTATTTTTATTGGGCGTTCGAGGCACGCAGAAGACCTAGGTGAGTCCTCATCACAATGAATGTTATACAATTTAAGTACAAAGAAAAAAGGAGGGTTGATCAATGGTGTAGTTGGTGAGAGGGAAACTCCAGTGGCTTAATTTTGGTATGTGGATATATTATAGATGGAGATGGAGAAGGGTGGTTTTGAAAACAGTGGGTGTATGAGGGTAATTAATATGGTTTTTGTTTGTATGGTTTTCTTCATCTATTTTCAAGATATTTGTGGTCCTGTGGATATATACAACTATAGCATTGTTGTTCTCTTTTGGTTTTGTGAAAAAGTTTGGGTGTAAAAAAATTAAATTATCTAATCTGGTTAAAGTAGTATCATATAAGTTAAGCCCATACATAAAATTTATTTTAACCAACACTCATATGTAAGTATTACAATTGGCATTAAGATCTAATATACCTGTGAGATTCTCTTTAACTTTTATACAAACAGTATCTATTTAAATAATAATAGTATAATTAAATTTTATGATATAAAAAAGATCAAATATACTTTATAAGTAATTTTTTTAAAATAATCTAATATAATCTACTAAGAAGAAAATAGATGAAAGTGATGTGGAAATTATTACAATCTCATAATTCATAATTTTAAAACAATCTAATCTAATAAGAAAAAAAATAACAAAGGCACATACATGTTGAAGGAGATGAAAGTGCTATGAATTATTACAATTTCTAATCTAAAATAAGATCAAACATACAATATAATTAATTGCTTTAAAATAATCTAATCTAATCTAACAAAAATATATATATGAAAGTGCTGTGAAAATTGTTGCTATTTCTTAATATGAAAAAATATTAAATATATAATATAAGTAATTACTTTAAAATAATCTAATCTAATATAATAAGAAGAAAATAAAAAAGACACATACATATAGAAGGAGATGAAAGTGCTATGAAAGTGCTATTTGATGTTGCGTGTGAGAGGATAATAGCTATAAATAGAGTTCTATTTAAATAATAATAGTATAATTAAACTTTGAAACTAATTATGCAATACCGTGAACTACTTGAATTTTAGTTGGTAAGAGATCGTCACATTCTGTCCTCAGATCGCAGCCATATCTTTTAATTTTTTTTTTCTAATTTTGAGAATGACTTTTATCTCTTTAATTTGTTTAGTGGATTTTGCAAATATCCTATTAACATCATGTACATTTGTAGGTCTGCGTTGTTCCTTGGGGCAAACATTATCTGTCTCGTTAATTTGTTTAGTTTTTGTATGTACGCCATTCATCTTGTATACATTTATAAATTTGGCATCTAATAATTTCATTCAGATTTATATTTCAATTAAAACTATATTCTTATTTTCATACTATGTATATCCAATAAGAACTCATCAATTTATCAACTTACTCTTACATAATGGATTAATATCTAAATTCCAATGATATTTTTGCCTACCGAATTTTTTTTTCAAACTCATGCTTTTAAAGTGAGTAATAATTTTGTGGATGTTCTCTTTTGCCAAAGTAGGGCGAAAAAGAGAAGTTAACTATACGAGGGAACAAAAAAGCAACAAACGGGAATTTTTTTAAAAAGGCATTTTTTACTAAATAATTAGCAAAACCGACCGTTTTGTTAATTATTTAGCAAAAACGATATCTTTTTTGCCAACATGCCAAAAAGAGGTCGTTTTTAAAAAACTGTCCATTCGAAACATACGGGACTGCTAGTCCCATATGTTTTGGCGACTAATACCACTTAGAAAATCTACGGGACTACTAGTCTCGTAGGTTTTGAGTGTGGGTTTAAGATGACAGCACCAAATAATAGTTATGAATTTCAATCGGTAGTGACATGAGAAGTAAATAGTAGATATGAATTTCAATGGGTAGTGGTATGAGAAGTAAATAGTACATATGAATTTCAAGGGGTAATGCCACGAGAAGCAACTAGTAGATAAAAATTTCAACGGGGAGTGGCATTAGAAGTAATTATTAGAGTCCTATTTGGACCTCTAGGCTCTTGAAAAGAAAGAAAAAATGTTCAACTGTGTCGACCCCCTAAGTCGTTAAATTAGTCCAAATACACAATCCGGATTTAAAATTTTCAAGTTCAACCTATCGGAGAAATTCTAGATAGAATTTCAAATACGACCTCTACATTGTTAAACTAGAATAAATTCCAAATATGATTTTTACGTTATTAAACTGGAATAAATTCTAAAAATTGACCTCTACGTCGTTAAACTAGAATAAATTCCAAATTCGATCTTTACGTCGTTTAAACTAGAACAAATTCTAAATTTAACATCTACAGAACAAATTTCTAAATTTGACCACTACGATCGTATAAAAATTTGATCATACACATTGCTTAACCATGGGCATATACATGATCAAATTTGTACACGACGTAATGGTCAAATTACTGCGACTTTTTATTTTTTATTATAAATATCCAAGGGAGTGCTTGTAATTTTTCTTTCTTTCTTTTCAAGAGCCTAGGTCCAAATAGGACTCTAATAATTACTTCTAATGTCACTACCTATTGAAATTCATATCTACTTTATACTTCTCATGCCACTACTGATTGAAATTCATAACTACTATTTGGTGGTGTCATCTCAAGCCCACACCCAAAACCTACGGGACAAGTAGTCTTGTAGGTTTTCTGGGTGGTATTAATCGCCAATTAATAACGACTAAACATACGGGACTAGTAGTCCCGTATGTTTCAAATAGACAGTTTAACAGGCCAAAAAGAGATCGTTTTTGCTAAATATTAGCAAAACGGTCGGTTTTGCTAATTATTTAGCAAAAAAGGTCTTCTTTTAAAAAAAAAATCCCAGCAACAAACACGAGTTTTTTTGCAGCTTGATGACTCTTTTGTCTACTTGGGTGTCATTTCGACAAACACCCTTCTGTTTATTGGTCAAAATTCTCTACGCCATCCCTCAGAAAGAAAACACCATACTTGAGTTACTTGACTGAACCAACTTATGTACTTGACTGAACCAACTTATGTGACTGAAGACACTGAAGTTGATAATTTAAAATTACTTTTATAGAGGGAAATTTAATTTAAAACTAATCTACTTCTGTAAAACACAAAACTTAGTTAGCCAGGTTGATCTGTCAAATTCAAATCGATCTATTCTCTAAAACACCTCGAGAAAGTCGCGTTGGCAAATATGCAAGAAGCAAGGTGAAATATATACAATTAAAAAAAAAGAGTTTATATTAATCCATCACAACGTGGCTGGAGTCACTTATATAAGCCATCATTAAATCATGAAACGTCTCGAGCATATGAGAAGAAATATTCAGGACTCCTCGCTAAATTTTGTAATGATAAACGAGTGCAAACAAGAAACAGCTATGATTTATATGTACATATAACGTTTACCCTTTTTTTTAAGTCGCCAAAAGAAAGAGCTTCATGAAAAGGTACATCTTTTCCTTTCCATTCTTTCAGCATGAAGCAGAAACTTACAATTTCATTGATATTAATATTATTAACAAACTAAAGCAGACAAGACATGCTGCTGATGCCTCCCTTAAAAACCTGAAACCCTACTAAATTGACAGACGCTTCTCTTATATCCCACCAAAAGACGCCGCGAGCATCAAAAGACACATAAATATGCATGGACTGATGTTATTAGCCCTAGATGTGGTTTTCACAAGCTCCACATGTATCAGTAGTCTTAGGATTGACAAATGTGCAGTGACTACACCTCCAGTCTTCATAGTCTGCTTCCGTGACGGTCATAGAGATGGAAACCGAGCTGATAGTAGCTACTTTACTCCTACCACCGCTGCTGCTATGATTCTCGGACTCCGATGAGGATGCAGCCTGCTGATCATTGTCGGCGGAATTTACCTCCTTCAACCCAGTCTCAAAGGCATGGACCAGGTTTTCAAAATAGTTCCGTGTTATGCTGCACAAATAGAAGAGAAGAAGAATGATTTACACTTCTTCGAAAAATTAAATAACAAAAGATTAATGCTGTTGAGTAAACACAGTGTCAAATAAATAATATTTTCTTGTAAGAATTTTTTGTAAGTTTAATGCTGTTGAATGAGCATGCACGCACGCCCCAGATTCCGGATACAGCTCAATAATAATTAACAATAGGCAAAACCGAGGATGTAAATACCGTGTTAAATCAACTAGCTTAGTGCGGAATGCAACAAATTCCTGAGAGTCTCCAGAAGGATTCTCAGCATCAAAGTAAGATTGAAGTTCTTTCTCTGCACATGCATGAAGCCGTTCTAGACCAGATTCAGCCTCACCTACAAAATGACAAGTTTTTCATCAGGAAGGAGCACCCATGAAACTAAAATGATTCCAGCCGACGTAATGACTAAAAACCTTGCAGATACTCAAAAAGTTGCCTCTTTGCATCTTCAGTATCAGGAAGGTAATATCCGTAGGCATATGTCCATTTAAGTACCCTCCTACACTCCACTATCTGCACAGTGGAACATGAGATCATAAGCCAGTGAAACTTTCCAATCCAGTAATCAACAAATTGCATCATTAAAAACTAATAAAGAGATTACCAAGAGAGATTACCAAGAGAGATTACCAAGAGATTGTGCATGCAAAAGGAAAAAAAGACGAATAATAGAACTGATACCTGCTCCCATGCTTCAACTAGGAACTTGAGCTCCGTTTCAGGAAGGCATAGCTTTATACTAAGCTTCTCAAGCTGCAAGAATTTTAAAATGATCCTTATAATGTCCATGTTATATAGATCAATAAAATCAAAAAGTACTTCAAAAACAAACGTATCTAGAACTTTGGACATGAAAATGATAACATTACCCAAGTAACCTATATAGGGAAAAAGAGTGGAAAAAAGAGATATTTGTCAAATATTTGTGAATATTAAATATATACTTATTTGACTAGTTATTGGGTGAACTTCAGCAGACTCTCAGACCCTCATTAGCTTTCAAACTGTCACTAAACCACCCTAAGATTTGGTGTTCTCAGAAGTACCTCTTCAACTTCCAACATCATCAAAATAACATTAACCACAGTTTTCACATGAGTGAGTAAATTTATCCATGGGGATGTTTTTGACAGTGATGATTGTGGTCCACGCCTTTTCCTTTCGGGTGGATATGGGAGGGCATCTTCTGAGAACCCCAAAACTTAAGGGAAGTTAAGTAAAATTTACTTTTTGGTTAAAGAAATGCTTTTAGGATAGCATTTAAATTCCTAGTTGAAAATTATTCCTTCACAATTTTATGACATATAGATCTGTAATTTAAATATTCAGTTAAACAACCGATTCGGGATCCACTAAGCCTCTCAAAATTAGTATCAAACATATGTAAAAAGGTAAGTGGGTCAAAAGCACAAAATCATGTGTAATAATACAAGTTATAAGTGACGAAATTTAAAACGACATTTTATAAGCCAATGAATCGAATATCCATCTTGGTTAAATTCTATTGGTTCGTTAACCAAATACTAAAATTTATTATTTAATGTTGGATGACGCACTAAACAGAATATAACTAAATAGTTAGACAAATAATCAACAAACCAAACAGAGTATAACTAAATAATTAGACAAATAATTGACAAATAATCAACAAACTAAACAGAGTATAACTAAATAATTAGACAAATAATTAACAAACTATTTGTTAATTTGTTTCATTCCCTATAACCAGTCACATTGCCTTCAATACTAACAACTTGGGAAATGACCATTAACTACCATGAACACCACATGGAGAATGCCATAAACTTTGACCAAAGTACAACTCCCATAAAAGTGTCATATTATTCAATAATTTTAGCATATTCTCATTTTGAGAAAGCGGGACTGTACAAGGAAGCAGTACAACATCTCAAAGTCACCCACCAACCTACCAAATCTCTGTTCATTCAGGACACTAAATAAATGTACAATCTTAAAAAGTTAGTGGAGAAACATAAGTAGCTGATACTCCAGATACCCTCAAATTTCATTAATAATAGACACACGTGAAGATGTAAGACAAAACAAAGAACTATTTTGCGTTTAAAGAACGAATTAAAGCATTTTTTGAGTCTAACAACAAGGAAGAGAATCAAGGGTGAAAGCTTGAAGCTATTTTGTAAGTGCAAGACACCCACCAGCTAAAGAAGAAAAGGGAAGTAAAGAAAAGGATACAACATTCTTTGAGGCTTACAAATGATTGAGGACAGCCCGTAAGTGCAGCAACCCGACGGACCTGTCCAAACTTTTATGATGTATGGTGGATTTAAAACACATGTTGACTGTGCCTGATACGGGTGTATCTTCTCTTCGGAACTTAACGATCCTCATGGGAGCTTGAGGATAGATGATTCTCGTGATAGCATGAGAATAGGGGTGTAAAACAGTACAGTGGAACGCAGGTGGAAGCGTGGAACGAGACGCCGAGCAGCAGATTCGAAGAATCCAGTTTTCAGCTCGTGAGTCAACTCATACATGGACATGAGTCGACTCATCAAGTTGAGTCGACTCATGAATGTCATGAGTCGACTCACAAAATCCAGCCGTTTTGTCAAAAGTTTCTGCTCGGTCGACTCATCAGTTTATGAGTCGACTCATCAGTCATGAGTCGACTCATATGCAGTTTTGAGTCGACTCACGAAACTCAGCCCTGTTAGCAAAAGTCTTTGATCAGTCGACTCATCTGTTATGAGTCGACTCATAACTGTTCATCAGTCGACTCATCAGAGCTTTCCTGATTCGTTTGGGTTTCTGTTCACGTGTTTTCCTGTTGGTTTTGAACTTAATTATTTACTAGATTGCCATCCACGTTTGTACACCTATATAAAGGGTTGTTTAGGGTTTCTAAATATAATCTTAGAGATCTTAAAGGGGAGAGTTTAATCAAGAGATTAGATTGTAATTGAGATTTGAAGAGCTTGTTCTTCAATTCTAGAGTGAGATTGTGAGAGATTGTAAAATACATACTCATAATCTAGAGAATGTATTTTCCTTCGCCCAAAACCTGAGTTATTCTTGTGTTCTTATTGTTTTCTCCTCAACCCACCTTTGATAATTCCGCGATCAAAGATGCTCATACGGCAACTCGTATCAAGTTGGTATCAGAACGATCAGATCCTGGGAAGGGGGCATCCTGTGTATGGTCCTGACTCGATCACAATACAAGAGGCTTGGCGAGGTCCTTATTTCATTGGAAGGACTCTAGGTTTTAAGGAGGAAGACGATGGCTGAATGAGACAATTCCACGAGGATTAATGCATTGGAGAAGCAGATCGAGACGATAGGTTCGACTCTCACACAACTCGTCAGTCTTATCCATGGAGGTGGCAAACAAGGTGAATCTTCTTCGAAGAAAATTGTTGAGTCCGATGTGAAAAAAGTAGATTCAGATTCCGACGAGGAGGAGCAGACCGTTAAGACTGCATTGCATCAAGGGGATAAGAATTCTTATCAGAACCTGAAGATTGACTTTAAGGTGGAGATTTCTGTTTATGATGGGAGTGTTGACGTCAAGGGGCTTGATGACTAGATCGAGCGGATAGAGACGTATTTTACTCTTTATGGCTATTCGTCAAAAGAAAAGATCGTGTTCGCGACATTGAAGTTTTCAGGACACGCGTTGACGTGGTGGAAATCCTACTGCAAGCAGGAGAAGAAGACGGTATCGTGGAACAAGTTCAAGGAGTTACTGAGGAAGCAGTTCTACCTGGTGGGATTCTTTGAAGAGCGTTGGTACAAGTGGTACGGCTTACGCCAAATGGTCAATCAAACCGTTCAAGAATACATCACGGAGTTCCAGCAGCAAGCGATGGTCCTCAACATTACGACAGAGGAATATTCCGTGTTTATGAAGTATATGACGGGATTGAGTGATTACATCCGAAAGGAGATGAAGCTATTCACGGTGGAATCAATTACAGAGACGAGCGTGAAGGCTATTGCCCTCGAGGGCAAGCAAAAAAAAGGTAACGAGGCTAAGGAAGACTCCAAATAGATGGGAGGCGAGTCTAATGGTTCTCAATCTAAGAAGGAGAAGAAGAAGGGTGATCTAGGGAAGACAAGGCTGATTTGTAGTCACTGCGAGAAGACAGGACACACAGCTGATTGGTGCTGAGAGAAGTATCCTCATCTGAAACCAAGAGAGTTGAAGGAGGAGAAAAAAACATACATGATAGCTCAATGTCCGAAAGAAATCCCGGGGATGATAGAACTCAACAGCAATCTCAACCTTATGACGGGAAGCAGACCACGAAAGAAGATACGAGAGAGCAACTCTTTGTTCTTAAGTTGCAAGTGAAGACCAGTTTGGTTGATGCCATTGTTGATTCGGATAGCGAGAAGAATTTGATATCCGAGATATTGGTTCAGAAGCTGGGTCTGAAGACGATCAAGCATCCGAAACTCTATCCATTGGGGTGGATTCAGAAGGAGGAGAAACTGAGTGTAGTTGATCAATACACTGTTATATTTGCGCTCCAAGAGTCGTATATTGATGAGGTTACGTACGACGTCGTTCCATTGGATGTTTGTCAAATTATACTGGATAATCCGTACTTATGGGATAGATATGCGATCTACGAGAAGCGGGCTCAGAAGTACACCTTCACTAAGGATGGTGAAAAGTTCATCTTTCGTTCGGCATCTCTTCCGAGGGAGACAAGCTTGGGGAAGGTGACGTGAGCGAAGAGACTAGTGAATGCAAGCAAGAAGTTTGTCTCGCTGTGCATTAGACTTCCAGAAAAGCCATCGATAAATGATTGCAACTTGGGACGAAAGGTGATTACGACGAGACGCGGGATGGATGAGATGTTTTCGATCGGACGTGATTGCAACTTGGGACGAAAGGTGATTACGACGAGACGCGGGATGGATGAGATGTTTTCGATCGGACGTCGAGACCAGGTTCCTAGCAGGGTCAGATGGTGCAGAAAAGATGGAGCTCGAGAGTTTTCTCAGCAAAAGTTCTAACTTGAACGGGACTTCAAGTTCCTAAAGAGGGGACCCATGATACGGGTGTATCTTCTCTTCGAAACTTAGCGATCCTCATGGGGATAAATAATTTTTGTGATAGCATGAGAATAGGGATGTAAAACAGTACAGTAGAACGCAGGGGGAAGCGTGGAACGAGACGATGAACAACAGATTCGAAGAATTCAGCTTTCAGCTCGTGAGTCGACTTATACATGGACATGAGTCGACTCATCAGGTTGAGTCGAATCATGCTTATCATGAGTCGACTCACGAAACCCAGCCGTTTTGTCAAAAGTTTCTGCTCGGTCGACTCATCAGTATATGAGTCGACTCATCAGTTTGAGTCGACTCATCAGTTTATGAGTCGACTCATCAGTTTATGAGTCGACTCATCAGTCATGAGTCAGACTCATATGCAGTTTTGAGTCGACTCACGAAACCCAACCCTGTTAGCAAAAGTCTCTGACCAGTCGACTCATCAGTTATGAGTCGACTCATATGAGATCATGAGTCGATTCATAACTGTTCATCAGTCGACTCATCGGAGCTTTTCTGGTTCGTTTGGGTTTCTGTTCACGTGTTTTCCTGTTGATTTTGGGCTTGATTATTTATCAGATTGCCATCCACGTTTGTACACCTATATAAAGGGTTGTTTAGGGTTTCTAAACATAATCTTAGAGATCTTAAAGGAGATAGTTTAATCAAGAAAGATTACATTATAATTGAGATTTGGAGAGCTTGTTCTTCAATTCTAGAGTGAGATTGTGAGAGATTGTAAAGTGCATACTCATAATCTAGAGAAGGTATTTTCCTTCGCCTAAAAGTGTTCTTATTGTTTTCTCCTCAACTCACCTTTGATAATTCCGCGATCAAATGTGCTCACACGGCAACTCGTATCAGTGCCTGACTGCAAAAAAATAGACTGCCCATTTAGAGAATGAACTAAATCATTTTTTTTGGTTTACCAACATCCATCATCATCAAGGGAAAGAATCAAGGGTGAAGGCTCGAAGCTATTTTGTAAGCGCAACACCCCGCTCTCCTAACCCCAACAAGAAACCAACTCCACCCCACCCCACCCCCACTCCAAAAAAATTCTAAAAAAACACCATTTTCTTCTAGAGTTAGAAGTGGTTGTGGACCACCCACAAGGGCCGCAATCCATCGGACTTGCCCAAACTTCTATGATGTGCGGTTGGATTAAACCACATATTGTCTCGATTCTGGGTATAAAAAGATAGATATTTCATTTAGGTTTTATGTTGTCCCCAGGTTTACCTCCGCCAATCATGGCGCATTCAAGCTATGAAAATGTACATCACAAACATCATTATGGTACAACACCACAACATCATGGTAAAATACAAAAGAACGTCAGGGTATAAATACACAAACATGACAACCAATTTGAGAGTTTTAAATCAAAATTTAAAATTTAAATCAACATTAAAACTAGCAGGGATGGATCAACCAATATCGAGTACACATGGGTCAGATTAGCTTCAGTATGAGTAGACCTACAATACATATACAAATCTGGGAATGAAGGGACTGACCATTCGGCATGTTGATCAGCTTACATATGACAAATAAATCGTGGTCAGAGTACAAGGTCCACTTGGTAAATGGATCATTCTTGGCCTAAATAAAGAGCCATGTGCTGTTGTTGGACATATCCAAGGACGACCCAACAATGACCACTTCCAACTCAACTTCCTCAAAGTAAATAAAAGAACAAATAAATTCTACTGAAACCTATAGCTTTAAGCTCTTTACTTTGATTCTCAGAATCACATAAGATGTTGGACC